GGCAGCTCTCATAGCGAGCGCCTGGCAGGTAGGCAACATCTCGCTTGCAGTGCATGCGTGTACTGCGGGATGGCCTACCCTGAATCTCGCAGGCGCCCAGGGGGCTAGATCAGAGGCTGCATACAAATTGCATCTACACCACTCATAAAATACATCATATCTCCTCCCAGCCGACAAATTACTCGTTACTAGTGTTCCATTATTTTAAAAAACAAAAATTCAGGGTTAGTTTTGGTATCACAAGTCCCATGAATAGATTCAGTTCAACTTTGTCAAGGATAGTGTTTTAAAAGCCTCAAATTACCCATTTGAAATTCAATTAGTAAAATATGACTGCAGCTGGAGGCAATTCATAACACAAAATTATAAATACTTCACATGCCATCCCCGACCTGGACAATCAACGACCTATCCAACCCTCAGCTAGATTTGTTCAGTCCATTGCTACCTTGAATCTCGGGTGAAAAATTGCCATTGCCAGTTCCCATTCTATGATTTGATGGCTTCCAGAAATGCTACAGGGGAATATATTTACGAAATAACAACTAAAATACCTTCAAATAATTGTTTTTATTTTTATGTTTACGAAAACATTAACGCCTAACAGGCTGACAAGACAGTGGCACACGGATTCACATAAGACAAAAGCCCAAGTCGAACAGTAATTATTTGGGCATATCAGTTAGACCAGAACATTCTATTATTGACTCAATTTTAACTAAGGTAAAAATATGTGCACATTGATTGCTGAATAATATGAATTGATTTGAAAAATTCTGAACACCAATAAAACAATTCCATACAAGCACAGCAGTGAGTTCTACAGTTTCGCTATGATAAAACAATGCATGTCTAACAGGCTGACAAGACAGTGGCACATGTTTTCACACAAGACAAAAGCCCAAGTCGAACAGTAATTATTTGGGCATGTATCAGTTATACCAGAACATAAGTAGTATTGACTCAATTTAACTAGGGAAAACAATGGGTACATAGACTGCTGAATAATAAGAATTGATTTGAAAAATGCTGAACACTGATAAAACAATATCATACCAGCACATCACGTAAGAGTGATAAGTGAAATAATACCATTTACAGCAGTGAATTTTACAGTTTTACTATGATTTAACGACGCATGATAGAAGTGTGTGCAGATGACTCAGATATTCAGAAAAGTGTCAAGTTTGGTCAAGTTAGAGAGGAAGAAATTACACAGAATTCCTAGACCCCAAATAAAATTACAAGCACAACACAAACATGCAAAACCCAAACGAAATGTTATTACCAACACCACATAAACATACTCCACTACGATGCAAGAAAAGGAAGGCAGGAACAGGCAGGAATAAGAAGTCATCGTCAAGAGATAGTCCAGTCAGTAGAAATGTACAGAGATGAATGAAGGTGATTACAAAGAAAACAGTTACATGGTTCTTGACTTGTTGATCCGGTTAAATGGTTCTTGTCATCTTGTTGATCCAGTTGAAAGGTTCGTGTCTTGTTGATCCAGTTGAATGGTTCTTGTCGTCTTGTTGATTCAGTTGAAAGGCTTCCATCTGGCGGAACAGCAAGGTTGAAATGCCATCTGGAACATGAATAGCAAATTACATGTTTCAGAAAGAAAAACAAATCTGTCAGTCTGTACTCCTATACAACAAAATGACGTTAATGGAATAGACAAACTTCAAATAAGTTTTTATTGGTGGTCTGAAACCATTTCCCCAGAAAAATGTTTGAATCACCTTAAACACCCCAGACCACCAGTAGCAGAGAATCGTCACAGGTCACAAGATTGACATTAATTATTTGTCACAATTCTCTGCTGCTTGGGCAATGAAATGTACTGAAGCTATTCATTACAATTAAAAACGAAAAGAAATGGGCCTATGTGAACGTAAGGGAAACATGGTTAGGCAACTATTGCTAAGACAAGATTACCAAACTCACCTTCTTACTTCCTCTTGTGGCCCTCGCTTGCGCCAGTTCTGCTTCTCATCCTTGTGACAGTCACCTCCACACACGGGCTGCGCACCTGTAGGAGGACAAGCAAACTCACTGTAACAACTTGCAACTGCTATCAAAATACTTTTCCTCTGACGGCAAAACATTTTGAAGAGAATCAATTGTTTGCATGTGAGTATGTTCAAGAGATCTCAGCCACTGCAAAAGATACATAGATAAGATGCAAACTATTTACTTTGCAACTTACAAAAAATTATGAAGCATTGTAATATGAATCTGTTTTCTGCACGCTTGCCAACAGTTTCTTTGCAATACGAACTGGTTCTTTACAATAATACAAAGCTCAAAAACCTTTTGCAACCTTGCAAAGAATATAGGTTGCAAGCATTTTACAGTGAGAGCCTAGGAAAAACTTACTGGTTTCTCTCCCTTTCTCCAGTTGTTCGGGATAACATTGAAGGCAGCAGCGTTCATAGTAGGCTAAAATGTCGGGTATCGGGGGCGGAGCGGGTCCTGGAGTCTTGGTGTCGTCGCCGGCTGCGAGCATAGCACCAGGCGCGCCTCAGAAGAAGACTCTCTAAAAGGCACAAAACTACATTAAAATAATTTCTGAGTAACAGCGGCGCCGAAAGAAACAGGAAGCCACTAAATATCACAGATCAGAACCGTACCTGCTTGTAGGCGACCAAGAGGGAGCGGGCGAAGCCGTGGTGACGCACTGCTTGATGTCCCAGGGGTGCGTCCGAGTCGAACACAGTAGTGCACTGCAGCAACAAGGCGGCCGAGGTCCTGAGGGGCCGAGTCATGAGTCGCGGCGGGGCTAGGCTACCTGTAACAGAAGCGGGTTTCAAGGGAGTAGGTCAGTAAATTACTACATATCCTGGAAATAATAAACCCCAAAGGACATCAACCAACCTCCCTACCCTTGGCAACAATTTGTTTGCCCCCGCGGAGTGCCAGCACAAGTAGGGCGGGGCCCAGGACGACGACGAGGACAGCGAGCGAGGGCTGGTGGTGTAGCTGGAGGTCCTGGAGGTCCTGAAGGTCCTGGAGGCCTTCGCCGGCCGCGGAGACTTGCTAACGAGGCCGGAACTGGAACGCGCCTGGAACTGGAAAAGCAATTAGAGAAACGAACATCTGGTTACTGAGCAAACCACTGTCAGTTCTCCTGCAGCTCAAACGGTGGATCGCGGCGATGTTGTCCTGCGCACGTCCCGGGCAGGCTGACTGTCCACGGCGAGGTGGGTGGCTGCAGCGGACTTCCCACCGAGACTCTGCAGCATGATCATTCAAAATTAATAGGCAACCCCCAATAAATGAACAAGAAGCCACTACAGATGAAGTCCGTCCTCCACCTGCTTGTAGGCGACCAAGGAGGCGCCGACGAGGCCGTGGAGACGCACTGCTCGGGGTCCCGGGGGAGCGTCCGAGTCGAGCAGCTTGGTGCAGCAACAGGACGGCCGAGGTCTCGACGGCCAGAGCAGCGGCGCCATGGAAGAGGAACAGAACAAGTCATTAGTCCGGTGCCTACCAGCGGTTGTTCTAGATTAGTTCTGTCCATTGCTACCTTGAATCTCGGGTGAAAAATTGCCATTGCCAGTTCCCATTCTATGATTTGATGGCTTCCAGAAATGCTACAGGGGAATATATTTACGAAATAACAACTAAAATACCTTCAAATAATTGTTTTTATTTTTATGTTTACGAAAACATTAACGCCTAACAGGCTGACAAGACAGTGGCACACGGATTCACATAAGACAAAAGCCCAAGTCGAACAGTAATTATTTGGGCATAGCCACTGTTTCCCGCAATGCGCATATCATATACCTTTGCGAAGGAGCCGAGCTCGGCAAAGCCAGCTGACTCTCCTACACGGGCTAAGGCAGTATTCACGTAGTGTTAATATCTTTCCATTTTAGTAAGCAAACCTATACTAACAAACCTAATTGAATATAGCAAATCAGTAAATATACTGTCAATGCAGCGTTCACTCCGCTTTGCTTTTAAATAAAATGAAGCAAACCTAAACTAACAAACCTAACTTAATACAGCAGATCAGTAAAGATACTGTCAATGAAGCGTTGCACTCCGCTATCGCTCCGCGCAACGCTTTGGCATTGGTTCCTGAGCTCTCAGTGAACGACCGATGTCCTTTTAGATGTTTTCGTACAATATATTTATGACATTTTAGCAGTATCAAAAATGAAAACGAAGCAAACCTTAACTAACAAGCCAAATTCAAAGAAGTAAATGAGCTATCGCTCCGTGCAACGCTTTGGCATAGGGTCCTGAACCTTAGGTTCAAGTCGTCCCAGCGCACACGCCGGCGCAAATGACCAGTTTGGTGGGCGGGCAGGGGCGGCCACAGGCCCCTCGAGTCACGCGCGCTTACTGACCGGCCCCGGCTCATATGACCAGATTTCAAAGCCTCGCAGGTAGGCCCGGCTCAAACGGGATGCGGCCCGCAGGGGGGAGGGGGGCCTACGGGGGAGACCCGCGGGTCCAGCGAGGGAAGGCCCAGCGCGGCGCGCCAGCCAACAGCCGACGGGCGGCTTCAGGGAACGACCGGGGCCACTGCAAGCGGGCCAAATGTGCAACAAGTAAGGCTTGAGGGACGTACTTGTGGTCTGCCGACCACGGCCACAGCAGCCAGAAGGTCCAGTTGTAGGCTGGGGATCAGAGTCGCGGCGGGGCGTGGCGGGGCGTGGCGGGGCGCGGCGGGGCGCGGCGGCTGGTTCCTGCAACAGAGGTGGGCGGTAAGAGAACAGGTCAATAAATGATCACATGGACTGGGACTTGTCCGGTCCCAAGTGCACAAACATACCTTGGGGGATGCGCAGGCCGTCGGTGAGCAGCGCGACGGTGAGCTGGGTGGTGGTGACCAGGGCCAGGGCGGCGCTGAGCGGGCGGATGGCGAGCAAGAGCAGGGCGGTGGTGTTGAGCAGGACTGCGATGGTGAGCGGGGCGACGATGGTGAGCAGGGCGACGGTGAGCTGGGTGGTGGTGACCAGTGCGGCGATGAGCTAGACGGGGGTGACGTTGAGCGGGCGGACGGCGAGCAGAAGCAGGGCGGTGGTGTTGAGCGAGCTGGGCGGTGGTGTTGAGCTGGGCGACGATGGTGAGCTGGAGCAGGTCGATGGTGAGCGTGGTGACAGTGAGCAGGAGCAGGGCGGCGATGGTGAGCACGGTGATAAACAGCGTCTTAGTGTCCTCGCTGGCGGACCGATTGATACCCTGCCGACAAGAACTACAATCAGGGGGGAATTAAAACAAACCAAAGCCAAACGTAACACAGTAAAATGGGGCCGATTTGATCACTGACCTGAAATTGGATCTTCAAATCATTTGATCTCTTCCACATAAAAAAGCCAAGACGTCAAAGAGAACATAAAGATGAGGTTCTTGACGCCCCCCCCCCCCTCCATACTACCCATGGCTACGCGGCTTTCGGCTAATACGGCCACGACTGGTGTCTGGTGTCGGATTTTGTATCATGTTGTAATGTGTTTCGAGGTATCAGTGTGAAGAACGCAGAGAGCCATTTTAATCGTCCCATCCAAAGATCTGCCTTTTCCCCTCCTCCCCTTGCCTCTGACCGTGCTGTGAAAAGCCAGACCTTCGGCTGTGACGACTATAAAGGTTGCGTTGACCCTGCCGACCACGGCGAAGAGCGCAAGAGGACTGTCCACTGTTGCGCTCTGAAGTCAAAATCTTTAATGTTCCTTAACGATTATAAAGGTTGGGTTGACCCTGCCGACCACGGCGAAGAGCGCAAGAGGACTGTCCACTGTTGCGCTCTGAAGTCAAAATCTTTAATGTTCCTAAACGAGCAAAACAAAGTACCGTCGTCTACCCTACCATGAGTCGACAGCCAGCCCCGGTCCGGCGCGCAGCAGCAGCGACGGCGAGTGGAACGGAGACAAACGGAGCTTGAGGACACTTGAACACTTATTCACTTCACAGCCCACATGCACACACTGCATTCGACTCTCATTGCTACACTTTCACTTATTTGGCCACGATGCACTTGACACTGCACTTCTCTTCTAACACTTCGTCGAATGGGCCAGGCCCGGCGGCGGGACCGGCGGGGTGGGAGGGGAGGAAGGGAGCGCTGCAGCGACGACGCACAGGCGCATACGCGGGTGACGCGGATGGCGCGGGTGACGGGCTCGAACTCCAGCTCGGCGACGACAGCCGGGTGAGCGCGCGTACGGAGTTGTTGGGGACGGGGAGCGCGGCGCGTTGGTCCAACCTGGAGACGGACAGGCAGCATGACGAGTTGCACGGCCGACGAATCGCGAAGCACGAGGTTGAGAGGGCGACCAGCTGGGCCGGGAGCTGGAGCGACGCGATGCTCAGCTCAGCTGTTCGCTGTTCCCGATCTGACGATCCGCTCCGCTCCGCAGCCGGCGCGCGCGGCGGCGGCCCGGCGGCTGGGCAGTGGAGGGGGAAGGCGGGGTGGGGGGATTCGCGGGAGGCTCACTCTAGCGGCAGTTGTCAGAGGGGGGATGGAATGGTAACCAACGAGATTCGTCAATGAAACTTGACAATGAAAATTGAGAGGGAAAGCGACACAAGTTTTCTCGTCTGAACTTTTTAATACGGTACCTATTTCACGTGACGCAAACCAGATTCAAAGAACCCTGAACCCCTTCCTCCTTGGCGCTGATTAGTCGACGCGGCCGAAGTTCTCGTTCCCGACACTAGGGATCGACCGTCCTGGCGGCCAGTTCAAGAACTTCGTCGACGTCAGCCAATCAGTGCTAGTGAGGAAAGAGTTCACGATGAACTGGCCGCCCTCGCACACGCCAAAACACGTCCAGCTGAAAATTCGGATGCCACACGGGTAAAGAAAATGTGTCGAATCACAAATCAAACTCCCCGCGAATAGGGCGGTGGGGGGTGGAGGTGAGGAGAGGAAAGATTATAAAAATAAAACCATGACAGAAACATAAGATGTACTCCCCCCTCCCCTTCAGAACAGTACCGGGTGTCCGTAAGAATACGCGGCAGCTCGATGGGTTGCCTACGCACTAGCGTGCAGGCGCGGAGGGCGAGGGGGGAGCGGTGGAGGTGCGCACCATCCAGCGAATTCCGAACAGACTATAGAGGCGCCGTTTAGGACCAAATTATTTTTCAAAGAATGTGAAAAAGGGGGAGTACCCACCCCGCTTTTACACGGGGCCCCGCGTGCTTAACTTCGGAGTTCGGATGGGAACCGGTGTGTCCACGCCAGCAGCCAGACTGTTAGATCCGACCAACTGTTGACCAGGGTTGTCGCCTACTACCCGCTTAAACAGGAACGACGGGTACCCAGAGAATACTCCCGGGATTTGTGAGACGGTTGAGGCGTACGTTGGTTAAACTGTACTGACCCACCACAGGTCATGGAGCCCTTTTCAGACAGTTTCTAGGTCTTATTATCCACCCCGCTACCACAGCGAGGTGGAAGGCACCGGGGCGCGAACCCCGGCCCAGAGCCGACACTTCAACAATACTATACAACTTTCTGACACCTATGACGCAATGCCACCAACAATGGTAACCACTACGCCATCGGGACACCACGAGCGGGGCGAGGAGAAAGGACGGGTTTGAAGTCCATTCGAAATTTGGTGGCCTGAGAAAAATTTCAGAACGTTGGAGAACCGAACCGCCCACCTCCCGCGCTCCGAGCGGGCGCACTACCGACTGAGCCGTAGAGGCGAGATACGGGCTGACGTTCCAGGGAACGATCCATTCTACGCTGTCGCTGACTGCTAAAAAAATTGTAAGTGTGAAGAATTTTGTTTTGTTTTGTTCACACAACATATACGTATTAGTGCGTTTTGAAGTGCTGGGAAAAAACATATCAAAAGATAACAATTACATTTTGGGGGTTCCTTACGTGAGGGGGACTTAGCCGCTGTGCAATACGAATATCTCATCGGCAGATTTATTCCGACTACCCGTAGTACCTTAAACTCGTGGTAAAGAGCTCCATGAAGCTGGCCTTAAAAATGCTCGCAAAAATTCGACCGATAGTGCCATGATTTAGTGCCCAATTAGTGCAATCCGAATATCTCATCGGCAGTTTAAGTGCGACTACCCGTAGTACCCTTAACTCGTGTTAAAGAGCTCCACGAAGCTAGCCTTTAAAATGCTCGCAGAAATTTAATCGATAGTGCCATGATTAAGTGCACAATTAGTGCAATCCGGATATCTCATCGGCAGATTTAGCGCGATTATCCTTAGTACCCTAAACTCGTGATAAAAAGCTCCATGAAGCTGGCCTTAAAGTGCTCGCAGAAATTCAACCGATAGTGCCATGATTTAGTGCCCAATTAGTGCAATCCGAATATCGCATCGTCAGATTTAGTGCGACTTTCCGTAGTGCCCCAATCTCCTGT